CCTCCCAAGTGCTGGGACTAAAGGCTTAATATTTTAATTATATGTACCTCACATAGAATCTTGAAATACTCATATTCATAATTATTAAAAAAATATTTTCCCCAGAGACAAGATCTTGCTATGTGGGACAAGTTGTGAAGTCTTGGATTCAAGAAAATCCTTTCATCTTATCTCTAGAGTAGTCACTGTATTGAGTTCATATACATAATTCCTTGATCAAAATTCTGATTATTTCTTCATAATTAAAAAGATAATTATTTCAATCAAAGAATATGATTACATTAACTACATATTACATTTTCAAAATTTCTCCAGGAATGACAGTTATCAGTTTTCTTCCTTCATTAGTCTACAGAGAGTTCTTGAACTCTGGGAATGAAATTCTTGTAATAAACGTCAGTTGGTAAACTAAACTGAGGCTTATATATGAACCTAGTGTTCTTTAGAATTTGTGATAGAGCTTTAGCAATGAAAAGGAAATCAAATGGTGTGTCCTTGTTTCTCATAAACTACAAGAGGCTCAGCAGTAGACTTTTGGTTGGGTAGACCTTGCCTACTGGCCTCCTGCAATCCCTTAAGGACGTTCTTCCCTGGGCACGCCTTTCCTAACACCTGCTTTAAATCCCTCACTTTGCATCGCTATTGGACTTTCAGATCCCTCCATATCTTTGACCTTTTTAGCTGAGGATGTGACTTTTGACTAACCTTTGGCCTTCGGGTCAGCAGTTAAGCTGTTCATTATTCCAAACTCCTTTCATCTTTTGCCTTTTAAAGGACAATGCCAGCCGTGCATAACTTAATACTTCCATCTCAAGCAATTATTAGGTGATGCAGTTTCGTAAGGCAGGTGCTGTAGTGGACACTCTTGAGTGAAAATTATGGGAAAGAAACTTTTTAAAGGCACATCAGACTGGGTTTCTCAGGAAAAGTCAGCCTGTGCAAACTTCACTTTAATGTCAGTTTTAAAGAGGAGGCCAAGTGTATTCTCTACATGGACAGTGCTGGAATCATTTTCACACTTTACAAGTCGGAGGCATTTTCAGGTTTGTGATGAAGATGAAATGTCAGAATCTACCCCTGTCCTCAAGTGGGTTTTAGCTTTTCAGAGAAAACAGAATATATACAGGTGTCTATAATATATGGTAGAGGAAATGAGGGTCATAAGAGAAGGGAGATTCTAAGGAAGTAGAGACTACTTCCTTAGAACAGAAATAGAATTCTAGGACTTCATACAAGATACCACAGTTAAAACCAGGGGTGTGGTAGCTCATGCCTGCAATCCCAGCAATTGGGAGGCTGAGGAAGATTGCCAGGAGTTTGAGGCTAGCCTGGGCTACAGAGTGAAACCCTGCCTCAAAAAAGTGGGAGGGGGGAAGGAGAGACAGAAAGAGAGAGAGAGAGAGAGAGAGAGAGAGAGAGAGAGAGAGAGAGAGAGAGACTGAGATTGGAATTTGGTATGATGGGGGGTGAGTAGAAGGAATGAGAATATTAGCCCAAACATTTCAATCACAAGACTAAAAGGAGGAAGTAGGGAAAGGGTTCATCAAGTGAAGGCTCTTTAGTGGCCTGTAAGAAACATGTAGGGTTTGTGGAAAGTAAGTAGATTATATGATGGCATCAGGCCGCAGAGGCCTTGCCTGTTGAGGTATGTATTTGCATGGAGATGAGATGCTGAGGATTTAGTAGCAGAGAAAGGATAGAACCAAAGCTGTGATTTGAGGACAATTAGGAAGCCACATGAGTCAGGTGAAGTGGCATCTGCCCATCATCCCAGCACATGAGTAGTTGACATAGTAAGATCATGAGTTCAAGTCCAGCACAGCCCATGTAGTGAAACCCTGTCTAAAACAAAACAAAACAAAACAAAACAAAAACAACAATTTTTTTAAAAAAGAAAGGAAAGAAGAGAAAGGAGCTAGCAAGCGCTATGTGTATGTGAATAGGGGAGAGACATGTCAGATGATGCTAAAGGTTTTCTAAACTGAAGACAATGAGTACTGGGATGTGTCAAAGCCAGGTGACTGCGAAGGTGGAACGGGTGGGTGTGCTCAGTAAAGTTTATGAAACCAAACCTAAAAAGGAAAGAACAGTTCATTTTCTTAAATAATTTATTTGCCATAAGTTAAATAACAAATTATAATCAATGGTTAAAAACACATCAACAAATATAAAATCTTTGGTTGATACATCTACTCACAATAATTTAATTTCATAAAGCAGGCATGTTTAGATCACTGAATATTTTTGGAAAAAAAAAAGATTAATGCAGTGATAAGGCGCCTGTTTGTTTTCCATCCCAAAATATTTGGCAGCTGATCAAAGGTATGGAAAGGCTAGAGAGGGTCAAGACATCTGTATCAGTGACCTATGTTTCCACTGACTATCCTGTGAGACCTTTGAAAAGTCACTTTACAACTCCCTTTCCAAACACATAGGGTTTGTGGAAAGTGAGTAGACCATATGATGGCATCAGGCCTGCAGAGGGCCTTGCTTGTTGAGGTATGTATTTGCATGGCAGATGAGATGCTGAGGATTTAGTAGCAGGGAAAGGATAGAATCTGTTTTCTTCTCTGTGAGATGAGGAAATAGAATTTACCAAGCAAATGATCTGTAAAAGTCAAGGGTCCTCTTTGTGTGTGGTTTCTAAACATTTCCAGAACTATCTACAGCTGACCAAATATCTACTATTGTTCAAGTAACAGAGAAGCCTAGGTTAGAATATTTGTCTAAACTTTTCTGATGGACTCAGATGACACATAAACAGATGAACCATCCAGTGAATTGTAATGCATTTGAACTATAAATTCTTATTGCTATAGCCACCAATCCTTAACTGTAGAAGCAAAGAAAGCCCTAGAGAGATTTTTTGAATTAGTGTCCAGTCTCATGGGTATCTTGACAGAGTTTTGGTCCACCTGTGATTACAAGTCTTCTTTTGATAGTCACTTTAATTTAATATAACTTGATACACAAAAATTTAAACTGAATAAATATTTTAAGGAGTAAGTCGCTAATACTGCAAAGGTTTGCTCATCTATGAAGGATTTTCCTGCAGGCTTTCTTTAAATATCCATTCCTCTCATTTAAAGTAACGATAGCTCAGTCTCCTCACATCTCTTTCAGACCTCTGTAGCACTCCAGTGGGAGCCCTCTAAGTACAGACAAGGGTTGCAGCCAGCAGGAAAGTGAACTCTCTGTGGCGTACAGAATACCCTGCACTGGGAACAGAGGTCCTCTGTGCTTTCCGCATGTTCAAATGCAGCTAAGTTAACAAAACAAAAAAAACAAAACCAAACAAAATAACAGAAAACAAAACACCACCCCCCAAAACCCCACTATCAGAAGTATTACCTTTATTTAATGCTAAACGAGAGGGCAATGTTACTTAATTGAGAATTGTCATGGAAACTTTGAAATTTCCCATTGCCTGGTAATTTAGGGACAAGCTTGAGTGTCCCCAAACTAGTGAGAAAGAAATGCACATTCTGGGTGGAAGGAGAGAATCCTCTGGCCTCTGTGCTTACATGTCTCCCTAAACTATACTTAGTCCATGGGGAAGTTTACCAAGTGCAGGTTAAATAACCTTGGACTTGGATGGAAACCCACTGTGCCCCAGTACATAGGCTGCACAGACTTTAACAATGTAGTGACTTTGTTACTCATAAATGAAATACTTCCTAGAATGACAAGAAATTTAAATTCTGCTGGGCATGGTGGTGCAAGCCTTTAGTTCCAGCACTCAGGAGGCAGAGGCAGACGGAGCTCTGTGAGTTCAAGGCCAGTCTGGTCTACATAGTAAGTTCCAGGTCAGCTGGGGCTCAGGGAGACCCTGTCTCAAAAAGACAAAAAAAAAAAAAAAAAAAAAAAAAAGAAGAAGAAAAATTTAAATTCCTCACTGGAGAAGGGTGTGGCAGCGTTGCACACCTTTAATCCCAGAACTGGGGGGTGGGGGCAGGCCCGCAGAGGCAGGCAGATCTGTGAGTTCAAGGTCAGTCTGGTCTAGAGAGTTCCAGGTCAGCCAGGGCTACATAGTGAGACACTGTCTAAAAAAAAAATCCTCACTGGAAATTCATAACCACAAATTCTCCCACCTATGGTTTGGAAGATTATAAAACCAATATAATTGTTAAGAACTTTGGGGAACTAAAATGCCTCAGAGACAAATGATATTATCTGCATTTTGGGCTTAGCTATAGGATTTATCTCTAAATCTAGGGAACATCAGGATGGAGCTTCTGTGAAATTCAGTGTCATGATCTGTTGGGTACCACCCCAACCCAGCTTAAGACTGATATAATACTCCTTGGGAAATAGGAAAGCAATGTATAAATTCACTAGTTCATTAGAGTCTGGTATCATATTTCTACTGTTTACACCAAATGTTTTGCTTAAATTAAGCTCTGTGTTCAGTGAGTCATAAAATGGCAATATTTGGGTTTTCATAACTATCATTGAATTTTACAGGATTTAACTCAAGAGGAATTCAGGCTGAATTAAAAGTCTTAATATTTGATATGTCAAACAAAGGGGCTTGCTGCCTTATTTTAGCTAACTGTTATAAGAAAACTATAAAGTCTAACTCAGAAATTACCAAGGGTTCTCCTTTCACAGATGAAATCCACTATTTGGTTTTAGAGCTAAGATTTGTATAAAGGACTAAACAGAAGTCGCATTTCAGGCTTCCACAGAGTTTAAAAGACACAGAGCTCTTCCCCACGCATGTAATCCCTGCTCCTCAGGAGGGACTTTCCTCCAGAGTTTGTCCTGTACCTCTTGCAGGTTGGTGTCTGCAGGGACTAACTTTTCACTCATCAATCTTAAATGTATTTTCCCTCAATCAAGCATGTATCATTTTGCAAATCAAACTTTTTTTTTTTTTTTTTTGGTCTTTTTGAGACAGGGTCTCCCTGTAGCCCCAGCTGTCCTGGAACTCACTATGTGGACCAGGCTGGCCTTGAACTCACAGAGCTCCACCTGCCTCTGCCTCCCGAGTGCTGGGATTAAAGGCATGCGCCACCACGCCCAGCCTACAAATCAAACTTTTAAATATGTTCAGAGGGCAACACATTTTTCTCTCATACATCTGAGATTCATTATTTTTTAAAAAGCCCTTTCTTATTACTGGACATTGAGTGAAACAGTGGTTTTAAACCTATGTGTGTTTTTTTGCAAATATCTTGTGCAGATTTATAAAATAAACAGAAGCAAGCTGTTCTGCCTGAAGTTCCGTGGTGATGGTGCCAGAGCAACGAGCTTGCTCTTCCATTTTAGCTCCCAGCTGCTGTCCCTGAGTGACTTCCTGTCATACCTCCCAAGCATTCATCATGTTGACTCTGGAGGTGAAATGGCGGTCCTCAGTCCATGACTTCTGAACTAGTTCTGCCTGGGGGCCTGGTAGTCACTACGGAACCCCATGGCTTGGGCTTGGTGAAGAAACCCTGCAGTCATCAAATAGAGGTCTGTCCTCCAGGACTGGCAGGTGGGGTCCTTGGGGAAAGAGTTCCAAAATGTTTCCCTGAGCAGCTACTCCTGTTTGCTGTGGGCTTTGTTCTCCCAAGACCTTGACCAAGAAGTTGATATACCTCATTGCTAGGCGAAGTGTTTCGTTTTTGCTCAGCTTCTTGTCTGGAGGGTGAGTGGGGATCAGCTTCCTTAGCTTGGCAAAGGCGCTGTTGACATTCTGCTGCCTCCAGCGTTCCCTAGTGTTTGTGAAGATCTTCCTGGTCATGTCCAAGTTCCTGAGATGGGAAAGGAAAAGGACTTTGAAGGTCAAGACCTTGTAAGAGGCCCAGTTACAATCATGTGTTCTGCTAAGAACCTGCAATGTGAGATCTTCTTGACTTAGATTTTAGGGAATTCATTTTGGGTTTTTAGGATCTTCTTTCTAAGAAGAATAAAGATAGCAGAAGAAAGGGTAACATAACACCCTAGGGACTAGAGAGATGGCTCAGAGGTTAAGAGCATGGGCTGTTGTACAGAGGACCCGGGTTCACTTCCCAGCGTCCACATAGCGGCTAACAATGTGGTGCACTTACACAGATGCAGGCAGAAGGTTCATATATATATTAAAACAAACAAACCACAACACCTGTAACCTTTCCCCCACACCCCCATCCCCACTTCTGGCTATTTTGAAGTCACCAGTTACAAGACTTTTTTCAACCTCCACTTCCCCTTTCCCTCCCTCCCTTCATTTTATTTTTGACTGCATTTCATATATACCGGCTCACCTCAAACTCACTGTGCAGCCAAGGATGACCTTGAACATGTGACCCTGTTACCATTACCTCTCAAGTGAAGGATTATAGGATTATTATGTGCCACCATTTTTTTGGCTTATGTGGTGCTGGGGATTGAACCCAGGGCTTCATGAATGCTAAGCAAGCACCCTATCAACTTGAGTCACATCCCAAATCCCACTGCTTCCTTCATAATCAATCCTTCCAGGTTGACCTAAATCAGGTACAATATAGGATTTAGTATGTGTGTGAATAAAATATATATTTAGCTCACAGGGAGTTGGATATAAATGTACAGTGTATTAAGGATTTTTAAGAAGGGGGAAAAAGACCTTTGATCTCAGGTTTCATTAACAAAATTATATCTGGACTAGAGAGGATAGGACAGCTCTCCTTGTAGTAGCTGACCTCATCTGCAGGATTGGGCTTCAGTCTGCAAAAGCCTGGGCCATAGTTGGACGGTGAGTGATCAGGGTGATAAAGGGCCTTTGATACCTGGATTATGAAAATAGAAATGGGATGTTAAGCATGATAAGGATGAAAAGAAACTGGAGCAGGTGATCTTTGGCATGGATGCTATAGAAGGGCATCTTGGCATTCCCGTAGATGACTTTTTCACACTAGGAGAGTTGTTTATCATCAGATATTGCCAAATCTCATTTTTCCATCTTTGGCCCTCTTTTCTCCAGATGACTTGGATTAGTGCATATTAAGAAGAACCTTCAGGATGCATTCGCAAATAAACCAAAGCCCAACCCCAGGCAGCCCAGGTTGGCTCCTCTGGGCACTTGGGCCCTTCTACTTCCTCCAGAGACTGATACATGTTGCTAACTCACGCTACCCTTCCCTCATGCTATATTCTCTTTCTTGAGTTCCCTTTCCGCATTCTCCTTCTAATATCCCATATTCTTGAAAGAGCTGCTCTAAGCCAGGCCCTGGCAGTGCTAGCTATTTTGGAGGCTGAGGCATGAGGATAACAATTTCAAGGCATGCCTGGGCAACAGTGCGTTCCCAGCATGCATGAGGCCCTAGGTTTGACATCCAGTACTGGGATGGAAGGAGCATCTCTGTTTATCCCTGTCCTCCTAACCCTGACTGTATGCATCTTTACAGCACAGTGTAATACTCTCTGAAAATGATGGGCAGCTGCTTGTCAGTCACATAGCCACTAATGTAGTAAACTCTTGCAACACACAGTCCTGTGCTGCCGGTGTTTGTGGATATAGGTATTCAATAAATTATATGAGACATTTGTAACTTTATTACAAAATAGGCTCCTCATTGATGATTTTGCCCAACTGTAGGCTAATATAAGTGTTCTGAACACATTTAAGGTAGGCTGGGCTAAATTCTGATATTCATAGGTTAGGTTGTATTTCCAATTTATGGTGGAACCTTGAGGAGGGGGTCATAACTCCATCATAAGCCAAGGCATGGCTGTATCATGCTGGCTGCTGGACCCTCAAGGGCTGGCTGCCTTTTGTTTACACGAGTGAGGGAAACAAATTCTGTAGCAACAGAGAAACAATATCTAACAGGCTAGAATGCAGACTTCCAGGCAGACCATATCTCCCTGAAAAGCCAAGGGGGATGCTTTTCTGCTTAGAAATGTGCACTGTCTAGACCATTATCTTGTATCTAATCTGAGTCACTTCTAAGTACAATAAAAGTATGAGTGTTGCCAGAACTTTAACTATATCTGAAACAGGAAAGTTTGAAGCTGAATGAAGGGTGCTTTAAGACAGAAAGAAAACTATTATAAAGTTTTGCTCACACTGGAGCTGGCCAGGACTGTGGGAGCAAAGTTCCTTTCAGGGTTCTCTTATCAAAAGAGGGTTTAGCTCACTGACCAAGTCAACTCTAGTCCCATGGGGGTCTTTTTCAAGTTGGGAGGAAAAAAGATTAGGCAGGATAAACTGACCATGGTGTTCTTTTCAAAGAGGGCTGGAGCTATTGTGCCAGAAGCAGACAGAAGAAACATTAAAAATAGACTGGCTTCTAAAATGTGGCCTGCCAGCCTAGGACGCTTGATAATTACTTGTTGATTTAGCCTCAAGTGCATTACTTTCCTTCTCCATGGGGAAACAGAAATCAGTGACTTAACAAGCTGGAAAAACTCAAAATAGAGGTCACTGGAAAATTACTGAAGTACTTCTTAAATCAAAGGAGAATTGCAGTGAGTGTTTTTGCAGTTGCAAGGGCTGATTACTGCTAATCTTTATTTCAGAGCAATATAAGAGAGGGGAAAACCCTGAACAACCCCACATGAGAGATGCCACAGACAAATGTGGAAACAAAGGGAAAGAATTTCTGTCACAGCTGAGGACTCTCACTAGGTCAGGGTTCAAAACCCCCAAACCTCTTGTTGTTTCATGAATCCTTTTGTTAGTGTCGGGGAGCCTATGGATACAAGCTACTCAGAGCAATGGTATTAAATAGATGTTGGTTCCCTGGTCAGAATTTTAAATGTGTGAGTTAAGATACATACACACAGAAAATAGTTATACTTGGTAGTTTATTAAGATACTAAAATTAAAAATGCAATATGGTCATATATATACTTCATTTTTATCACATTAAAAAATAACTAGACTTCTTGCCATAATTTCTAAGAAGGGATTTTCTTTCAAAAGCTTTGCAACATCTGTGATGTGAGATGCAAGTACTTAGACAAATGCACCACCCCTGCCTTGTCGCAGTGTAATACCTGGCTACTATATTGCATGCCAAATTATAGTATTTTAACAACTACTACATATAACTGGTTATTTCCCATGTCTATGCATTTAGTGCACTTGAAATCATTATTCTGAGAAGGGAATCAAAGACATTTTACTTTATCTATTTAAACCGTGCTAATATTACTGTACTTTATTACCCACAGTCCTAAATAAAGAAAATGCTATGCTTAGAATAATCATTAATAGAATTAAAGATGCAACATTTCCCTACTAAAGTTCACAGACTTCTGAATTCTATCCACATATTACTAGGTAGGTAGAGCTTTGACCCTAGTTATGAAAGACTTTCAAGTTCAAGGCCTGCCTGGGCTACAGAGTGAGTTCAAGGACAGTTTGGGACAACTGTGTCTCACTAAGGCATGGATGCTGCAGGTGACACCCAGAGGAATGTCATGGTAAATACAATGTGAATATAGAGTGTACAGCCTCTTCACGTGGTCACCAGTGAAAGTAGCAGAGCATTGGAGAAAAGAATGACACTTATTTACAGTCCCAGGGAGGGTGGCCAGTGCTGCCAACAGGAGCGGCTGCTCTTCGGTGCCAGTGGCTCCTGGACACAAACCCAGGTCAACCTGAAAGGCCTACAGCTCAGGTTCCTGTGGAGACCTGTCCCAGGCTCATGCAGCTCTTTGCTCCCAGGGTTTTCAGCTTCTCTTCCTGAATGTGGTCATACGTAATTGTCTCTTCTCTTGGAACATGGTCCTAGGTATTTGGATCTTTCTCTCAGAAGTGCAGACACTTCATAGGACTAAAGAGACAAAGGGTGGTCTGGCTAGTTGAACTGGGCAGGGCCTAACCTCCAACACTAGGCACAGCTCTGCTGGGTTAAGAAAAAACTACCAAGTAATTCACAAGCGAAATTAGAGGGGGAGGTTGCAGGGGACGGTGAGAGGTAGTGGGGGTCAGATAGATGGGGAAGGAGAATCACTAACTAAAACATACCTTGTAAAAAAAGCTGCACACACACTGCTAAAAAAGAAAAGTCACAATATCTAACACCTTGGGGTTTGTTGTTGTTGTTGTTGTTGTTGTTGTTGTTGTTTTAGTTGTTTGACAGAGGGTCTCCCTGCAGCCCTGTAGCCCCAGCTGGCTTGAACTTGCTATGTAGACCAGGCTGGCTTTGAACTAACAGAGATCCACCTGCCTCTGCCTCCAGAGTGCTGGGATTAAAGGTGTGAACCACCATGCTGGGTCCAGTATTTAACACTTTGAGTGTTAATTTTAAATTATTCTATGCCAGTTCAAAATATAAAAATAAAAGAAACATAAAATATACATAAGTTCTAACCTTTCTAATCAATCCCATTCTCCAGCCACACACACTGACGCACACACACATATTTTAGCAATGACGATTCATACTATTCATGCAAGTTACTTTTCTGTCAGGCAGCTCCACATCACACACTGAGTCATTACGCATATTGGATAATGCTCTTTGGGAAGCGTCCAAAGGGGATGCGCTTCGCCAGCACCTGCGCACTAGGGGAACCACCGGTTCTAAGGTGCGCTCAGCACCGACGCCTGGCAGCCTGCGGGCACTTGGAGTTCCCTGCCCATTTCGTCCAATTCGCTGGTTGTCCGTATGCCCTCTCCATTTCCCCGTTACCCATTCCCGTTTTAAAGATAAGTTTTGCTCCTTACCCATACGCCACCTCAGCAAAGCATCGCTCTGCCCAGTGCCTATTTCAGGAGTCTGAGAAAGCATCTGGTGATTAAAGTTTCACCTCTGCAAAACGTAACCTAGGAGACATCTAAAGAAAGTGGAAGATGCGATGCACTGGGGTGGGATGGGGACTAGCAAGCTAGCACGCTGTCCCTGCGTTCCTAGCAAGCTGAAGCAGCAACACGCGTTAGGGGGGTCGGACGGGCTCCCCCTGGGTCCTGCGCCACTGCCACTGCCACTGCCCCTGCCCCATGGAAAGTCCCTTAGAGGCCACTACCAAATCTTGGCCACATCCCTGCCCTAACAGACTCGCCCAAGCCGCTCACCTTCTTACCAGGAGCTGGGAACCCGCGCTGTCACCGTGACCGTTCTGACGGGCGGTGTGCGCCCTTGCCTGGAAGCCGCGCCTCTGCCAGCGCCTCTGCCCGCGCCTTTATAGGACTCCGCCCTTTGTCTGCTAGGAGGAGGGAGCATCCCCGCTGGGGAAGAAGAACCCCTGCTTTGTGCGAGCCTTGACAGGAGGGGTGGCTGCTTCCAACCTCTCTACTGCTAAGAGAAGCATCCAGAAGTGTCTGTCTACTCCTACCTAATTCATCAGATGCCTGCTCAAACCCCGGGGTTGAAAAGCATCCAGAAGTCCCTGTCTACTCCTAATTCATCGGGTGCCTGCTTGTTCAAACCCCAGGGCTGGTGTAGTCCGAGAACCACCTGCCTCAGTCACAGGAAACACCAGTCCCAATACCAGCTCCAGACTCTCTAAATCAGGAGTTTGCAGAGGAGGTCTGCAATCTGAAATTTTACCAAATACCCCCAGAAAATGAAGCTGTACAGTCAAGTTTAAAAGCAGCACACTTGACAGATTGCCCGATTTATTTGTCTGGGTTTTCTTCTTGCTCAAGGCAGGGTTTGCTTATGGAGTCCCTCTGACCCTGCACTTACCTCCTTCCCCTTGTCCTGTATCTCCCAGAGTGATGGGAGAAAACTCAAGTCAGAACCCTGTCACTTCTTCAAAACTCTTTAGTGGCTTACCATTTCATTCAAAGTTAAGGTTAAATCCAACTGAGGTGGCACACATCAGTAATCCCAAGAAGCAGGAGAGTGGAAGGTTTGAGGCTAACTTGGGCTATATAGTGAGACTGTCTCAAAAACAAACAAGCAAAAATCAACCAAAGGGAAGTGAAGTTCAAGGCTTTGAACAGCCCTGGAGATCCTTTATCTCTGGAATCGGTCTGTCCCTTCTCTCCTTGGGGTTCACAGCTCCAGACACTCTGGTTTGCCCTTTCAGGAGCATACTGGACATCCTCCTGCCTCCCGGGCTCTACCCTGCTCCCTTTGCCTAAAACACACTTCCCCCAAGTTATCCATGTGATAGGCCAGGCCTGTTGTAGGTGGTGGAAGTTCAGCTTCAGAGGAAACCAGATGCAAAGCCCTTCCCTGAAGGACCTGGCACTCTTCAGGCCTTCGCTCAGATGCGGCCCTCTCAGAAAAGAGCTTTAACATTTAGAAAAAGTTTACATTTCTGTATTTATTGAGGAGAACACCCTAGCACGAGTGTGAAGGGAAGGTCAGACGACAACTAGAGGTAGTCAGTTCTCCCCTTCCACCCTGAGTATTTCAGAGATGCAACTGGGGTCCTTAGATTTGGCAGCAAGTGCCTTTTGGCTGAGCCATCTTGCCAGCCAGTCAGTGAAGAGCTTTTTAGCACGCTGTCTAAAACTGCAGGCTCGCCACACAACACACCATCCCTCTGCTGCCTTCTCTGCTTTTACCCACTTGTTACTATTTACCTGTTTATCTTGTTTGTTTCTTCAGTATCCCTCATTACTATCATTGAATAGATTGTCATCAAGTGTTGCTTGATTAGTGAATAGGCAAATAATGAATCTCTAGGTATCCCTCTTTGAATGACCCAGAGTAGTATCTGACATGATAAACTCATAGATGCATCACAGCTTAGTGAGTAAGAACAAAGGGCCCTGGGGTTGCATTTATCCAGGGTGAAATTCCTTGTCTATTCACTTGTGTCATCCTGGGTCAATGACATATCTTCTCTCTACCCCAGTTTCCTCATCTGTAAAATGAGTGTAACATTAGAACTGTGAGGAACAAATGAGAAAAAAAAAAATCCCAAACCCATGGTAAAGTATTTAGTAGTATGAGTAGTGCTTAGAATAGTCTCATGAATTTTTATTGTGGTTGATTGTATTATTACAACTATACTGGTTCCCTTCTCTGTGAGAGAACTACACAGGCCCATCCACTGCCATATGACCAGTATTATTATTTTGTATTGGTGGAAGGAATACACTTCCCTGCCCCATTGCAAGGTTTGGCCATGTGACTTGCATCAGCCAATGGAATGTGAGGAGATATGACATATAAATTGAAGGTGCAGAAACCCCAACAGGATGACTGCTGGTTTGAGCTCAGCCATGAGAAAGTCATGTTTGGGGTGTCTCCTGCAGCCTGGGTGCCATGGAACAGACATTAAACCTATCATAGCCCTAATGTAATAGGAGTGAGAAATCAATGTGATAAGCCGCCAAGATCTCAGGAGCTTTGTCAAACCTCGGACTCCTTATCCTATCATGCAAGCAAACTCATAAACTTATTATAAATAAAAAAAAGTACTTCCTGAATTCTTAAGCTCTGGGGTGGAGCCAGAAAGGTGAAGAGAGTTATGTATCTGCCTTCAAAAAGCTTACAGCCATTGGAAGAAAGAGGCTATGACAAACTGATTCAATATAAGATGGGTAGTCCTAAGTTACAGAAAGTATAAATTTGAGTTAGGTAGAGAGGGTAAAACACTCTGGCGATCAGAGGTTACTTATGAAAGAGATGACATTTAAACAGGGGCCTGAAGCAAGGCTGGCTCTGACATTTGAAGGACCCAGGATTTCTGTTCTAGTTTGTTTCTCCATTTCTGTGACAAAATACTGTGACCAATACCAACTTGGAGAGGAAAGGGTTTATTTGGCTCACATTTCCTGGGTCACAATTCATCAAGGAGCCCAAATCAGGAACTCAGGGCAGGAGCCTGGAGGCAGGAGCTGGAGCACCCACCATGGAGGAACACTGCTGACTGGCTTTGCTCCCATGGCTCATGCTCAGCCTGCTTGCTTATATAATACAGAACAACCTGCCCAGGGGTGGCATAGCTCACAGTAGGCCGGGCCCTCCCATATCACTCAAAAATCAGGTAAATACCCCACAGACATGGCCACAGGCCACTCCAATGGAAGAAATTCCCCAATTGAGACTCCCTCTGCCCAGGTGTGTCAAGTTGACAACTAAAGCTATCTAGCGCAATAAGGAAAAAAAATGGAGACTCCTGGTTCTAGTCTGTCCTTATTTTCCTACCCCCTAGCTCAATCTGCTTCAATGAAAGGCCCTGTACATTATGTGGACTCCAGGTCCACACAGACTTAAGAAGAACCCTGTACAGCAATCGAACAACAATTCAGGACTCTCAGATGCCCAAATTATGGTCTAGAAGGTGGGAGGTGGATACAGGGCAGATGCTGGAGGCTGGAGCAAGATCACTAAAATATGGTACCCAAGACAGAGTTCTGGGTGCCTGGGATTTTTGTGGAAAGGGTGGAGGACAAGTGACAATGTTGTACTTAAAACATAAGAATAATAAGTTTAACTAGAGGTTCCAAGACTCGTTCTGGTCACAGCACAAAGGATGAGCTGAAGGGTAGATTGAGGAGAATTGGCCTATCTGTGTACAGAAACGTAGCCTAATATTTGCAGCAAAAACCTGCAACCCACTCCTCTCTCTGCTTGTGTTCTTGCTGCCTGCTGTGGACGAGGAACTGCTCTCATGGCGCCCATGCTTTCCACCTTGCAGGATTATATCACACTCCTGACAGAGCACACAAAAGCTTACTATTCTTCATCTTAGCCAAAGACCGTGAGATGATATATTTTCTCAATGGTACATTTTACGTCTGTGAAAAAGAATTGTGACAGTGGAGTAGCAAGATCAGATAAATGATGCTAAATGAAGCAAACTGTAAAATAAAGTCTGTGCAAGTGGACAAAAACTCAAAGGACAAAGGCTCAGAGGGAGGAGCTTAAATGCATTAACACTGGAAGCGGGTTGGCTTCTTTTTCTCAAACCTTCTTAAATGTCACCATTGGCCTTATGCTTTTAGAAACCATTCCACTAACAGTGGCCCTTCAGAGTGATGGGCCAGCTCCCATCCCATTCTCCAGTGCGGTGCGTTTAGGAGCTAGGTCTTGCAGAGGAAGAGGTTGGAGTAGGAATTTACATAATCCGATTATTGGGGATTAGATTTAGGCAGCTAAAGGCCTCTATGTGCTTGAGCTAAAACCCTTACTATTCATGGCCTTCACTGCCCCCTGGAGAGACTGCACCTGCAGAGCTCCTGGGGAGGGCACAGGGGGCTGGGCAGGGAAGGGCAGTAGGAGAGTTGGGTGCTGTCAGGCTCCCTGGCTCTGCTGCTTTAATTGATCTGTCTGGATTAGCCAGTGAATACTGGTCCTCCATCCTGTATGCAGGGCCCGGTATCAATTTCAGGAAAAACCAAGATTCTCAGGAGAGATTTCTGCCAGCCCAGGTGAGTGGGGGGCCAAGGCCATTTTAACTAGAGGTTAAGCATCGGCCTTTAACAGTTTTAAACTCTCCCTGCCCCTCAACACATAGCCCCTTCTCTCAATCCTCAATTCTGGGTATGGAGGAACCAGTGTGTTAGAATCTCTCCATTCGGTCACCATCTTCTGACCACCCATTGTGTATGTCTCCACAAATTTATCTATCATACGAATTAGCTGGTGTTTTGTTTTGTTTTGTTTTGTTTTGAGACAAGGTCTTACTATATAGCACTGGCTGGCCTGGAACTCACTATGTAGACCAGGTTGGCCTTGATCTCACAGATATCTACCTGCCTCTGCCTCTGCCTCCTGAGTGCTGGGATTAAAGGTATGTGGCACCACATGTGGTTCAAATTAGCTGGTTATTGAGATCTAATATAATTTACAAGAACATGCTGGTAGATACATATATTTTTTTCCTTTATGTGTTCTATCTCTTAAATAAGGTTAGTCATTTTGACATAGAAGTTTTGACCTTTTAAGATTCATTAATATGGTGGCATTTTATTTCAGTTTTTTTGAGACAAAGCACGCTATGTTACCCTGTGGCTGGTCATGAACTTATGACCATTCTGTCCGGATTATAGATGGGAGAAATGACATCTGACTGCTATTGGTTTCTAAAGCTTCTCACTTTTTCTCTTTTAGAAAGTATTTTTAAAATATTCCTTGTATTATTGTTGTTGTTTTTGGCAATCACTTGCTATTAGTTTCTAATGTTATTGCGGCATCATCAAAGATGCACATTTTCCCCCCTTTG